TTAAGGGTTTTTTGGCGAGCCAAACCACATCAAACCCGGTTAGCTCGAGTTTGATTGTGTTAAGAGTTTGAGTTAACATTTGACAGAACTCGCAAAAATTCTTTTGGTTTGGATATCTAATCAATAATAAAATCGTAACCTATAATCTATGATAGTGCTCGTAGCTCAAGTTGTTTGATTATTTCTTATATACTATAATTGTTATTCCTAATCTGAAATGCACATCCATGAAATAACGTTAATGTATAGATGGTTATTAAATCAAAATGGGTTTACCTTTTCACAAATATCTATTCCCACGTAAATGTATCGTCAAAAAGGAAGTTAATAAAGATCTATACAGTACAATATAGAATATGCATATCTACGATTAAAGTTATTTGGATCCTCGATTACTATTTTTTTATTATCAATTTTAAATATTTACTTTGTATTTTTTGCAAAGTTAATCCATTATCAATTTTTTTTATTTACAACTTATACCTATCCAAACCTCTAAAAAAACGAAGTAGTGACTAGGTACGATGGTACGAAACAGAAAATAAATAAACAAAGATAGAAATATTAACTTAATATCCAAACCAACCCACAAGTCCGGTTTGATGGTTAGGCAAACTCTGCCAAACCGGGTTAACTACATTTCTCGCCAAAACGTCAAACCTCAACAAACTATAGTTAACCGGGTTAGCGGTTTTCTCGCCAAAAAACCCTTTATGTAAATTTAAATTTTCAAACCGGAAATGCATTGAAAACATTTAATTTTTGCGTATATTATGTACTACCAAATTGTAACTTATTACCAGAGACAACCATTCATTACTTTTAATACTTGCACATTTTTCTTACTTACCTAAAATGACACTGTTGTAAACTTATATTGTTTTGAATTTAGTGGTCATTCATCATGTTGACAAGTAAAGGATATTATATACCAAAATATTTATACAGGCGTAAAATTGACCATATTAGGAAGAAAATAATTAAGAGGAAGTATGGATATTTGTTCTACAGAAAAACTTTATCAGAAGTTCTCCCATCTCAAGCTCAAAAACATTTTGAAAACTGTTTAAAAAGGAAATACTTCAGAAGATGGATTTTATACTGGTATGAAGAAGTGATAGAATGGAAATTAATATTAAGGGCAGAAATTCATTACAAGCTTAGCCTACAGCAAAGTTTCTTGAGGAGGTGGAAATACTTTCACATTCTACGAAAAACAAGTAAAATTAAGGAGAAAATAGCGTTAATATATCACCAGAAAAATTACACTCGCCAACTTAAGCTTTTTTATATAGGGAAATGGAAAATGTATATTAAATACAAAAAAGGGAAAAATGAAAAACTTCAGTTTGCCTGGAATTTTTATAAATCCAAATACAGACCAGAGACTTTAGTTCCATTTTTTAAACGATGGAAAATATTCACAATAGTTACAAAGAAGAATAAGTTTAAGCTGGCAAAAGCTACAAAGTTATTTGAAGATAAATTAGCAGTTAAAGTTTTAACAAAAGCGTTAAGATATACTAAAGAAATGAAAATTCGAAAAGAGATTGCAACAAATGCCGTAAATTTGTATACAAATAAGTTACTGCATAAATCATTCAAAACATGGTTGTTATATATCAAAGAGAAACAGAGAGAAAAACAAAATGTGATCTTGGCAGAAACTCATTATTATTTTAGATTGAAACAGATTTATTTTGGAAGAATCTTAAAAAATAAAAATAGAAATCAACATATAAGGTATAATTTAATGTTGATAACAAAACAGCAACATCAACGACTGGTAATGTGCTGTTTTAAAAAATTGAAAATATATATTCAACACAGGCACTGCAAAAAGCAAAAAACTCTTCGTGCTGTGAAACAGTATGAAGTAAATTTAATGAAAAAAGTATTGTGCAGGTGGGAAAAATATTTGCATTACTGTATAGAAAAACAAATAGCAGAACAACATTTACTGGAGAAGGTAACGAAGTTACTAAATACATGTTTACTAAAAATATATTATGGGAAGTGGATGAAATTCATTTTCTATAAATTAGAAAAAAAAAGAAAACTCTCACTCAGTGGAGATTTTTATAAACAATGTGTTTTGAGGCATACATTTAAAACGTGGACATATTTTGTGCATTACAAAAATGCTAGGAAGAAGAAAAGTATACAAGCAATTAATTTCAACAATAATCATTTGAAGAATGTGTCAATTTCGACATGGAAGAATTATGTTAAAGAAGAAAATAATTTCAGAAAAAAATTACTTGAAGCGAAAAATTACTATAAACACAAAGTAATTAATGAGGCATTATTGGTAATAATGAAAGCAGGATTAAGTAAAAAGGACGAGAGATTGAGACAAACTAGAGATGAAATACACCATCAGTTATTTCTAGCTCAGAAGTATCTCAGCATTTGGAAACAGAATGTGTTTTATAAAGACATTGGCAATGAAGCAGCGATGAAAAACTGTGTAGATGACGAGTCAGAGGAGGACAAAGAAAATATCCCTCAAATTTCCAATTTTGATTGGTATCAAATTTGTTTCCTAACTCCTAGACTGCCTAAGAATTATGTAGAAAAATTATCTAATAGTTCATAAAATTGTATTTAAAAAGTTGTATTTTGTACAATATAAATAAAAAATAAACAGTGTTTGTTACTTCTTTTTTCTTTTTCTGTCAAGTGAATTGAGCTCACTCTGCTGCATTGCAGCTTCTGCATACAGTCGTTTAACCTTGTCTTTCCTTTCCTTATCACTAAAACGTAAATAATGAAATTAGTAAACTAAATATAAAATATTTATATAAACGCCATACCTCTGTATCCTTTCGTTAATTTTAATTCTGCCTAAAAATGCTTTATCTCTTCGAATCTCTCTAAGCGCACCTTTGGTCTCCTTTTTAAGTTTGTGTAACATTTTATCTCTTTCTGCTTTCACTTTGGATTGTTTTTTATATCTCTTACCATCATAGCTGAAAACATTTACACTATAAATATACAATATGATTATTTCATAATGTACTTACACCTCCTCAATTTTAGGTTCATATAGCCTCAATGCTTTAGGCCTTTCGGCTGCCATTATAATATAATTAAGTTTCTTATTAACTTTTCCATTCCTCAATGTATTCGTTAAATCTTCGAGGCAAGTTTTAATTTCCCTCGGATAGTTACAGGTGGGGATCATATCCAAGTATCTCAAGACTGGGTTGAATATTTCTATACTGCTGGACAATTCTTTCAGGTTATTATAAAACTCTTCCAGTAACTTCAGTGCAACATATAAAACTCTAACTTTGTACTCTTCAGAGATATCATCATTAACTAAATCTTTACTGTCGAGGTGTAAGGATTTGAAACTCCCTAAGCTATAGTTTTCCAGTAAGACCAAATCGGATGCTGTAGCTTTAAACGGCGGTAAGATTTTTATTAGTTTGGGTTTGGATTTAGGCACAGCCATATGTAAGATACCTGTCAGAAAAATTATCACGGCTGGAAGATATCTTTTAGATATAACTGTGTACTGGAAAAATTAATATAATAAATATATATACACAGTACAATATATTCAATATTTACCTCTAGTATTAAAGTTGATAGAAATAATCCATATGATATATCTCTCTTACATTTAACTTTGCATTTTGTCAACATCTGTTCAATGAAAACAAAGCAGGGTGTAACAATTTGGTGTCGGAAATCAGACGTAGGGAACAACGAACTGACCAATTTAAGAAATGCCAGGATTTCGTATCCCGGATGTTCTTTAGGTTTTTTCCTATACTCTCCCTGTTTTTCTTTCATAACTTCTAATACAGAATGATGAGCATTTTCAGGATTGAGTTGCGCCAAGTCGTAAATTTGGGGTATTAGAGCACTAAATATTTCAAAACTATTTTTAATAGATTCTGCATCAGTAACATCCTCAAACAAATCATTGACATATTGTAATAAGTAGGCGAAAAGTAATCCCAAATTTTCTTTATTCCCTTCCGCTAAACTAGGATGGTTACATTTAATCATCCTCTCTATTATAACGTTTTGATGACTGCTCGATTGATTTTCGAAGGTCTTTTGTAAACTTTCATATGACTCGGGCAATGTAAAAGTATAAGGTAGTTCTTTCCTGGCTTGTTCCATAACTTCCTTTCTCTTCAATAAATCGTCTTTAATTTTGTCTTGCAGGCTCTTATCCTCTTTTATGTCACTTCTTCTGTCGTTATTAACTTTAAGGACTTCTTCATTTTTAATGTCTCTGTTTTCTAACTCGTTTTTACCAGTGGCAATAGATGCTTCAATATCACTTTCACTTTCACTATCACCATCTTTTAAGTCAGAGAGATTGTCTTCTGAATCTATTTCTGGTTCTTCATCTTCATCAGAACGGTCCCCGCTGTTTTTTTGACTTACTTCAACTTCAGACTCATTATTCTGAGTTATGATTACACCATTAATTTCTGCATCAATTTGTACATTAGTTTCTCCTTCTTTGTTATAACTTAACATATATTCGGGATCTGATTCATAAACAAAATCATCCTCTAAGTCATCAGCACTTCTGTGATTAGGTTTTGAAATACTTTGTTTTAAATCTCCTCTCATTCTCTCCACTCGCTCTTGTTCTAATTTTTCTAATTTCTCTTTTTCCTCTTTAACTATTTCATCTTCAGTCTTTAGTCTATCCGATACTGTACCTCGTGCTTCAAATTTAAGTTCCCGCATAACTTTGTCATAATCATCCACTTTAGATTTATTAACCTCTTCTTCAACTTTTTTGCTTGGATTCACAATTGGCAGCAAATCCTTCCATTCTGAATCTAGCTTCTCAGTAAGTTCCAATGTAGCTTCTTTGGTTTTTTGTTTCTCTGCTTTACGTTTTTTAGATTCAGCTATAAGCTGGTCGATAAGTTCTTTATGTGTTTTTGCACCTTCTTTCCCAGTGTTTTTCAAAACCCCGCCACCAAAATGTGCATCTGCTACAAATTGTTGATCTAAGTTTCCAGACACATTTTCATCATCCAAACTCTCATCATCAGACCTTGGGTCCTCAAACTTTTCAATCTCACTTAATGTTTGACCTTTGTGTGTGAGAACTTCATCATCAGCTAGATTAAAGATGCTCTTTTTGTTATGAGCCTTAACCCTTACAGCTGTGAAACGAGCCATAGATTTGTCTTCATTTGTCATGATATAATTTTTCTCACCAATGCGTTTATCCATAAATTTGTTAGATTTGTGCAAACCTTTGTACTCTTTTAAAAGAGTATGCTTTCGTTTTTGGATAGCTTTAGCTCTGGATATCCCTGGCACACCTCGATCGTTTTTTTGTTTTTTACCAAGAACTCGTAATTTCTCCTTATTGACGTGTATTTCAAACGGGTTCATAACATTTTTGGACTTCACTGATTCTTTCTTAGAGTGAACATAATCTGCCGATTTTCTTTTATTCTTACGTTTTGCCATGTTAAATCACAAATTCAATCAAAACCATAACATAACAAACACTGAAAAATTACACGTGAAAAAAGTTAGGTTATTTCGCTAATTTCGTCTTCTTCTTAGCTTATGGTACACTGAACTCTTTCGAGCTTTTCTGCGAAGGTCACGTAACGTCATTATTCAATTTCCCTATTTATAATTTTCATGTATTATATCAGAGACAATAGATATTATATGTTTTGTGATTTTCACTATGAATATGAAATGTTTGGCGGCCACAATTTAAAGTTTTCAGAGCTATGGGTGTCAATGTTTCGTTAGAATATAACGGCACAAAGTATAAACCACAATAAACCCTATAAAGCTGTAACTGGATTAGTACCAGTATCATTTATCTAGGATTAGTACATATAAGATATAGAAATTGTGTATATGGACATGTCCACCCATTGATCCATGCCAATTAAAAATTATTTTCTATTCTCTCTGCTTTGTACATGGCGGTGTTTGTTTACATTTGTACAATGTGTCTGTCTTTTTTGTTAATTCGTTATGTATATATTTTTCAATTGTATTTGAAACTATATAAGTAATAAATACCTTACGTATCCAAGCACAGCTGATATAACCAATGGTAAATATAAAGATATAAACTCCTGCTAATGAGATAAAGTCTTTATCTCAGAGAATACTATATAATTGGTATAGTGTTCTCTGCTTTATCTATTTGATTTTGATATCGCCGCACGGGCCACAGAACAGGGAACCATATACTCCTTTTCAATATGGTTGACTTGATTTGCTTAATGTAAATTGTAAAAGTTCTTTTTCCCCTTAAAACCTATTTAGATACGTACAAGTATACAAGTAGACTTACTGAATTATATTCTATTTCGATGAATTCTATAGAGACAATCAGGTACTAGAATTTATTGGAATTAAAAAGACCAGTAATATGTAATAATAGGTAATGCATCGGTGAACACTGCCTTCATTCAGTATTTTCCATTTTCCGCTAACTCTTTATTCAGGAATCAGATACTCGGGAATAAATTAAACAAACTTGGTAAATTTAATTTTTTCTTTGGGTAAATTTTATAATAAAAGGACCTCCATACATTAAGAAATAAGTACATCAAAATATGTTTATTTTATCACAAAGTTCCACTTTGTTTAATCAAAGATGTATATTTTTTATCATACATAATAAATTTACACACTTAATCATAATAAAAAAATGTGAAAATATGATCTTAACACTAATAAAATTATGTACTAAAATGAATAAGAAAAAATATTGTGGTTGCATTAACCGCATTTATAAAGGGCGACTATTTCTTAAAATGATCATTGGTCATTGTTATCTTCAAGGGGCTCCTGTAATCCACTTTTTCCAATAATTTCTTACTTGCATTTCGAAAACCTGGCCTCGATATTCGTGTCATACTGGATGCTGATGACGAAGAATCATCTTCAGACTCAGATTCACTCTCTTCGCTGGAACTGCTTTCCTCCTCCGATTTGGAAGAGTCACTTCCACTTGAACTCTCACTGTCACTTTCGCTCTCAGATTGTGGTTGTACTCTGGACCAAATAGTTGATGCCACAGCAGGTTTCTTCTGAGTTTTTATAACAACTGCCACTTTGCTTTTGGGCTTGTGGTTACTCTCTTCGTCCTCAGAATAATGTGAATTTCTCAATCTGTGACTGCGCCTGTGTGCCCTATCATTTTCAATTCTGTCGCTATGGAGAGTTCCTTCATACCTCCTTTTATGTATAGGTGACCTTGACCTTCTCCTAATGGGTGACCTGCTTCTTCTTAGAGCATTAGTTTTTCTATATTTATTGTATTTAGGTGTTGGTCTTTCAGACGACCAATATGAAGGAGACAACCTTCTCCTGTGAAGGGGAGACCTAGCTCTTCGTTGCTCTATTATTGATCTTATATCTGAATGAACATTTTCTTTTCGGTCATAAGCTTCGAGATCAATTATGTCTCTCTCTACAGTAAATACCATATTTTTGGTTCTGTTTTTTAACCTTGTGCCAAGATCTACAGTCTCAATTGGAACATCTTCCCTGAGAAATGTTCTTTTGTTATTTGTTATACCTAAAACATTTCTCAGGTCTCTTCTATTTAAACTCTCGTCACTAGACAACTTTTCTGACTGTTTCTTTAATGTTTGCAACAACTTCTTTCTTTTTATCTTCTCTTCTTCCTCATCAGCATACATTCTCATTCTGGGGAGTTTACTTTTTTTCTTATCTGTTTGTACTGTTTCTTTTTCTTCTTCATTTTCTACATTTTCTTGCGTATTCTCGTCTAAACTTTGTTTTTTTGTGCCTAACCTAACTCGAATGCTTGAATTCTTTATTTCTATGGGTTTTTCAATTTCAATTAGTTCAGGTTCTTTTTCACAAAATTTGACGTCTCGATTCCAGTTTTTTGCTAAAGAACCCCAGGGATTCTTTTCTTGATTCATTTCACGATTTCTGTCAAAAATACCTTTAAGCTCCTTCTTCTTATTCTCGGGGATAATTCCTTTTGAGTTACAAATACTTTTGTAATATTTATTAAATGATTCTATTTTATATGGTTTTTTGTCTGTTTTGAAAGCAAATCTAAGTAGTAAACATTTTGCTTTAGTGTATTTCTCCCCTAATCTCCAATAACCAGGTGGAATTGGTATAGTTATTTCGGATATGTCGGCCGCATTTTTTAAATTTATTTTGGGGCTTGAGTCGACCTTCTCTACCTTTAGTTCAACTATTCGATTCATATTCTTGAGTAATATGCTTTGACCAGTACCTTCCATTTCTGGTTCTTCTATATCATCTATGAATTCCTTCGCAAATGGATTACATGGTTCTCTTGCTGGCATCCCTCTCACAACTTTAGATGCATAAAACATTGCTCTGGCTGCAGATATATCTTCTAACCACGTCACATTGCAACTATTGTCGCTTACCCATTCTATTGCTGCAGGAGCATACTTTATAAAATATTCCAAAATGTCTTCTGCAATCAAATTATTGGTGCCCAAAATATGAACAGCTTCGAATCTTATATTGTTTCTATTTTCAGAAGTAATTCCTAGACTATTGTGTAATTCTTCCAAATCGCCATCTGTAAAATTACGAATTTCGTCAGGCTTTAATGCAAACCGCCTGGCTCTCTCTTGTAGTTTTTCCTGTTCTGCCTTATCAAAAATATTTATTCCTGTGGTAAATATTCCTTTTGGATTTGTCCATATCTAAAATAACATATAACCTATAAAGAAGCACATCCTTTTATAAGAAAATGAATCTTACAATAACATGTAACAGAAAGTTGATAGTAGAATAAATTAAGAAAAAAGAAAAATACCTCAGTAACTTCAGGAGATAAAAGTTTATTTTGCGTTTCGTTATCGTCCACTATTTCACCTTCTTCATTATCACTTTTTAAATTTTCATCAGGATCAACATCCATTTCTTCACCTTGAGTCAGATTATTATGAATTTCCACTCTAATATTCGGGCGCATTTTTTCCATTTCCACTTCTGTTGCCATTATCTTTTATTTAGAAAATTGAGAAAAATAAATGTCAAATGTGTGGAAGACAGAACTCATTAAGGGTTTTTTGGCGAGAAAACCGCTAACCCGGTTAACTATAGTTTGTTGAGGTTTGACGTTTTGGCGAGAAATGTAGTTAACCCGGTTTGGCAGAGTTTGCCTAACCATCAAACCGGACTTGTGGGTTGGTTTGGATATTAAGTTAATATTTCTATCTTTGTTTATTTATTTTCTGTTTCGTACCATCGTACCTAGTCACTACTTCGTTTTTTTAGAGGTTTGGATAGGTATAAGTTGTAAATAAAAAAAATTGATAATGGATTAACTTTGCAAAAAATACAAAGTAAATATTTAAAATTGATAATAAAAAAATAGTAATCGAGGATCCAAATAACTTTAATCGTAGATATGCATATTCTATATTGTACTGTATAGATCTTTATTAACTTCCTTTTTGACGATACATTTACGTGGGAATAGATATTTGTGAAAAGGTAAACCCATTTTGATTTAATAACCATCTATACATTAACGTTATTTCATGGATGTGCATTTCAGATTAGGAATAACAATTATAGTATATAAGAAATAATCAAACAACTTGAGCTACGAGCACTATCATAGATTATAGGTTACGATTTTATTATTGATTAGATATCCAAACCAAAAGAATTTTTGCGAGTTCTGTCAAATGTTAACTCAAACTCTTAACACAATCAAACTCGAGCTAACCGGGTTTGATGTGGTTTGGCTCGCCAAAAAATCCTTATTAGCTGCTTTCCAATTGCCAAGGAACCTTATTGTTTCTGTGATCTGTGCAAGGAACTGCTTCCGAAGTGTTCTTATACTGTTCTACTCTTTAATTACTCCAAACTGTTCCAGCCCAAGATCTTTCAACAAGCCATAGTCTGTCTGTGGTTCCACAGCTTATTGTAATGCAAAAAGCTAGTCTGAACTACATTTTTATCAACTGGAAAACGTCTTTTGAGATTTATTTCACTTTGAGGAACTAGGAATGTGCTAACTTTCGGTATCTGATGCAACATTTACGTGATACTTATAAGTACCCGTTAATATCGGATACTACTTAGCGATTGGCTATTTAAAGGTTATATTTTAGAAATAAAATATGAAATTAGTCAAAATATTAATATTCATTTAAGAATAACATTTAACAGTGAAATTTTTGTTAAAGAATACATTAGACTCTAATGATTAGAGCAATTTTATACTATACAGAGAGAGAGAGCAAGAGACAGTTTGGGCACCATCTTGCTCTCTCGCGTATGCACATGATGATTGGCTAACGCAACTTACACAATGACTAGAGAAAGAGAGGCAGCTCTCAAACTGTCGCTCTTTGTTATTGCTGGTAACACATGCTATTAACTGTTTAATGTTTTAAAGTTTTGTGGTTTTAAAATTTTAGGTTAGTTTGTTTTTCAAACAATGAAATGCTAGTGAAAGATAAGTAAACAAAAATTTACAATGCACGTTAAAGAACAAGATAATTTCATGGTAGATTATTTGAGGACATCTTTTTCAGAGATTTATCATGTTTTAAATTGCAGTTAGGAGTTCAACATGCTTTAGGTCTACCAATTCGTACCAGATGTGCAGAACTAACAGTTTTATTAGACAGAGGCGGTTTGTTGGAATTACACAATTTTTTCCCTATATTAATAGACAACATATTTGGCCCACAAGGAACTCTTTCCTGGGGGTTAAGAACTACAACGGAGGATCAATGTGAAGATTTTCGACAGTTGCAACATTTTCTTTCTCCAGGCGGACCGTTGTTTAAACTAATCTATACTTTGTTGAGGGATCCGAATATCAAATATGATTTTCCTCTAACTTATTTACCAGTACACATTGTGTTATTTTTATTGTTATTTTTACTATATTTGATCTTTGTAGGCCAAAATAAGACAGTTTTTAGAACACTCTCAAGGACATCCCTTTTACTCAGAGTTAATACATGTTAATCCTCAAACTAAACAGATTATGTCACTTTTATTGAGTAAGCAATCAGTAATTAAAATATTTTTGTCTGATGTATTTCGTTTTTAGATCCATTTGACTATTACATATTCCACTTTGCCTATCACTTAATAAATCCGTGGCAACAAAGAGCTGGTTCTGCTGTAACGTCCTGGAATACAGTGTATTATATTTTATGTTGTGATTATATAATTCACTTCCTTCCTACTGATCCAACTGCTACAATTTTGCCTGTAATATATTACAATGGGAAAAACCCACTTCAGGCTATGAAAAGCAGTTTGCAGTAAGTAACTAATTTTTCTTGTAATAGAAATTGCTATAAGAGAATTTCTGTAGGGAGCAAGAACCAAGAAGTTCGGGTTTAATCAATGCAAAAACTCTTGCAAAATCAAAAGATGATTCTTTTAAGAAAAATTTGGATATTCATCATCCAAGGAATGATATTTGGCGCAGCGAATCAGTTTTAACTGTATTTACTGATATGTGGTTGTATAATGATCAAGTAAATGAGTCTACATCAAATCTAAATAGTACTTTTAACATCTCGATGACGACTGTAAGTCATATATTCCATTCTTGTATTCAAATACGATTGTGAATATGTCTTTGTAGCGACTCTTATATCATAACGAGCTTCCTACTGGTGAATATATGCGGATTGTCCGTGTCCTTATAAAGCAATTGCATTCGTTTTCTGGCAGCGCGAAAGCAGATGACACTCACTTGGCAGAATTAAAAAAAATTGCTCTGCCTATGATACAGGGAAAGTTTTACATATTTTTAAGGAACTTGATACATCGCTGGCCGCTGGATGGTTCTTTTAGACTCGTTTTGGAATTATGGTTAACTTATATTCAGCCTTGGAGGTATCCGCCGAATAATCTCATCAAACATTTGTAAGTACAGCCATGCACTGTTAATACTGCCGTAATGGTTTGATTCTGTAGTTATTTTTGACACGTGACATTGTGGTTTTAGAAATAAAAAGGAGACTAATCCGGATGTTGAAGACGTTGCCCTGGCTCCACAGGTCTCAGTGGAAAGGGAATACCTACCTTTCATTGCAGAAAATTTATTATGTTATGTTGTGATATTCCAACAGCTTTTACCAAGGTTTGGTCGAGTCGATTTGGTTAGTCCAAAAATTTCTCTCATGCTGTACAGATTGTCAAAGGTACATTAGAATATGGTCGAAATAGTAAAAAATATTAATTACCTACGTTGTTTTCTTACAGGTTTTTGATCAACCAAATCTGCCAAACTTCCTGAGAGAAGTGGAACAATGCGTGGAGAACAACCATTCTCCAACCCACAAATACAACGATCACTGGGCAAACAGTTTACCACCTCTTTCTCCTACTAGTAATTGGTCTACGAATATAACCCAAAGAGGCAATACATCCGTGGAGTCATCTCACAAGCAAGGATTCACTCCGATTTTGAACAGTACTGCCTTCTTGTCTGGCAATACAGTTCACACGGAGAAGAAGTGGTCAGCCATAGTGAGGCAGAAAATATTTGAACTGGAAGGGCCTAATTTTTGTTACAAGCCTTTATTTTCTGATCCTCCTGCACCAGAGGTAAGAAAAGACAAACGTTTGTGAGGAAATTATTTAAAAATGGTCTTTGATAGGTTTACGATTTGATCATTCAGATTAAACGTTCCATCAGGCACGCTCAAGAGCTGGTGAGACTGAAGCAGGAAGAAGAGGAGAAAATGTATTCCGGTTTTTGGGGACAGATCAAATATTTTTTCCATACTCCTTCTTCCAATGATGAATTTACATTAAGGGATCGTCAGAAGGTGCCAATGTACCTTCAAGTTGCCCTAGAAAACTTAACGGACATGTTTAACATCACAACAGAGGTAAGTAGTTAAAAAGAAACACATTGACTTTGAAAAGTCAATTTTATAACTAAAGTTTTAAAATTTGTAACGAAAATAGAGTTTTTCATTCTCTATTATGAAGTGGAGCGACGAGTTTACTGGAGTTAAGGGGTAATTTCCTTATTTTTTAAAGGGTCGAGAAAAAAAAATAATTTTTGATTTCCTGTCTTTATTAGGCCTTCCGAATATGTGGTTAGAATTAATGACTGAAACACCCTGTATAGTCCAAAATCTAAAAAATCAGAATAAGCAGTGTTAGGGTTGATTAATAAACGAACGTATAAATAAAACTGTAAACAATACTTATTGACAAGTTGCTATAATTTCAATTTAATTTTGCGTGGCACCTGTACATCTACATTCAAATCATTTTCCTGAAATTGCTTATAATCGGATTGCATTTTAACATTACAAACGCTTACCTCATTATCGTCATCTACTTGTTTTTTGGCAACACATTCATCAGCTCGAACTAGAACATGACCTGTTTTCAAATTAAGTGCAAAGCCTGCAGTATTTGCAATCAATAGCACTCCATTTCATGGTTGAAGGACACATCGTCCAGTATGATAACGGCTCCTCTCGAAACTACGATGTAACTTCTACATAAGCGGTTCCATTGTATTCGTCACGGGTTGTGACATTCACATAACCCACAAATTTCGGCAGTATCACCGTAGCCTCTTTAGCCCAGACAGGAATTTTCCTATCTTTGTTATAAACATCTAATATTAATAAATCAGCGTCCAATTTGTTATACAATTTCACTAGATCGCCGTTGATTACCTTCACTACGTTAGAATTATTGATCTATGACTGTCCCAAAATTATAGGGATATGTTGCACTTGACTTGGCACCACAAGTACTTCTACCGTTATTTTGACCTCTTGAATTTCAAGGGTCACAGTGGCTGTTCCAATAACACTCATACTTCCACCTGCATATCCTCTAAGTAACGTAATACTTGGTCTGGTTTAAATTCCTAATTGTTCATTGACATCTTGTCGTAAGAGAACAGCTTCATTGCCCGTGTCTGTATATCCATTTACAACCTTTCCATTTACCGAACAATCAACAAAGTACAACTTTTGTTTAACGCCCATTGTCAGCTTAATTTCAGTAGTTGCTAATACCGTATTAGAGTTTTTATAGTCTCCTTTCGTTTGTCGTACACAATTGTTGGTGTCATGGCCCAGACGTTTGCAAATTTTACATTTTTTTTTATGGTAAAGGACAATTGTTCGAAAGATGTCCTCTCTGTGAACAGTTGAAACATTTGTTATTCCATCCTGAGGTGGACGTCGACATCTTCCTTTTTGGATAATGACCCCCATTAAATCTATTTTATCATTCCGGACGTGTAACTTATCTATTTGACTTCTTTCATACATTCTCTCAGTTCTTCCACGTCTTCTTTCATTTAATGTAGACAGATATTCCTCATATAAGCTCTCAGGTGTCAAGTACCATCCTGCCCGGGCTGAATTTTGCACAGCTGGGTAACCCATCTATGATGCATGACACTGCTTTTTTTCCAGTCGTAAAGCAATCACATAATCTACATGTTCTGGGCAAGCATGTTGAAGAAGTTTCTTCAGTTGTAGTCATAATCAATGAGATTGTCGTACCATGTTTTTGCTAAACCACACAATCAGTTGCTCGATTTTATACAGCCACTTTAAAACACTGTCTTCTTGCGGTCTTTTTCATATCGTCACACGCATTTGAGGCTGAAGTCTCTGATGCACTTGATTTACCCGTACACACAAGTAGTTCTAATCTTGTTGAACGTTCATTATCTTCCTGAATACGTGATACCTTACGTGGCGGTGAACTTTTCGGAGTCGATCGTATAGCGTTTTGACACCTGTATACGTGATTTTTCTGTTTGTCACGTCCGAGATCTGGATCTGGAGATCTGCTTTGTCGCGTTTTGTTGCCGTTCAACACTTGCATCTTTTTCCAGTGATTTTCGCGGAGGACTTTCACATTCACTATCATCAACATCACTTACTGGTGGTTTACGTTCCGGTGTCCACGACGTAGCAATGATTTGCTTACACAAACTGTTTATTTACCACAGAATATTCATTGTTCGTGTAATTCACCCCACATCTGAACTGTAATGTCTTAGGGTTGATTAATAAACGAAAGTATAAATAAAACTAAACAATATTTATTGAATATTGAACGTCATTCTACAGACTGCCTGTTCCTTATCCCTTTTTCCTACATAATATATAAACATCGCTTTCAACTTACAACTATGATAGCAACACATATCAGAGTGGCATCATTGGACACCCACCTGCATAAACACTCGTCCGTCATCTAATAAACATCTCAGTGGGTATACGGGGTGCTAACAACAGCAATATAAAAAAATAAAATATTCTGTTTTTTTTGTAGGTTACAGAGAGGGAGCCAGAACCAATCGTTTCTCCCAATACCAGTAACTTTGATATGTCAAATGATTTTAAATTCCTCACACCTGAAAGAGTGAGGAGCAGAATTAAAAACATTAAATACGAGGGAGATCCCGATTTACATCCCATCCAGACTATGGAAAACGCATTTCTAGTTAGGACGTTATACCAGATTGCACTGAAAATAAATGAATGTGTAAGTACGATTTAGCTAATTTTTATTATATATTAAGTAAATATTTAAATCCATTGCAGTATGGTCCAAATTTCTACCAACTGTACCACAGCCCGACATTCACGGGTAGATTGGCTAGGCAAATTCTCTGCCCGCCAATGACAATCTACAGATACGATAAAACAATACCAGGCTCACCGAGGGTAAGCAGCAATTTACCGCCCAGGGTTAGCCTCAGGTTCATGGCCAGTTACAGATTTTTAACTTATTTGTGTATCGGCGCGTTTATTTTCTGGTTATTGGGGTACAACCTCGAGTTTTACCTGTTTTTTATAATAACTGTATTTATCGTGTACAAATCGTTTAGAGCAGTTAGAAGTGGCGAGTCGGTCGTACGTCATAATTATCCCACGGAGGGTTTCGGAAATATTAGCTTCAGTGATTCATTCTGAAATAGTTGTATTTATATTTTTATTACATGAAAATGTTGTGATTGAATGTTAATAAAGTAATTTGTTTAATCTTGAGCCTCTTCTTTTATGTTCCCCAAGTGTTTCTTCGATAAAGGACTGAGGAGGCTTGAAGATTTGCTCTCATCGCTGTCTCCCTAAAATATGTTTTCTTAATTACGTAAAGTGTGAATATTCTATAATCTAAAGTGTAAATTGTATTACAAATTATAAATTGAAAACTTACAAAAACTAATTTATGATATTCGGACTCTTCATTTTCAGAACTGTCTTCATCATCCGAGCTTTCTGCTTTTTGCAAATAGAGCTTTATCTTCCTCATGCTTTTCAGTGACGATAAACTTGAAGTTCTCGTAGGTTTACTTGAAAAACTGGTGAAAATATCTTCGGGGACAGGTGGGAGATTGACAACATTGTTCAGATCTATCAAGGATTCTCTAGATAAATTTTCGGGGTACTTTTCGTCAATGTCAGCTTTGATACTCTTATTGCTGGCGGTAGTAGGTGGAGGGAAGAAACTGTTTTCCAAATTCTTCTGCTTCAATTCGAGGTATCTGATTTTATCGCTGATCTGCGTTATATCCAAGTTTTCAATGCTCTGCTCCAAGTTCTTCATTTCCAAGTCATTTAACTGCTTATCGATAATGGCTAGCAGCTTTTCATATTCATTCCTTATATTTGTAGGGACGTCGGGCCCTCCCAATGATTTTATCAATTGTTTAGCCTCTTCGAGAGAAGATTTCGATATATAGTGCAGTGCCGTAATGGCCTTGTCTGCACCAGTTATTATGCTTTTTAGGTAGCAGACATACTTTTCGCCGGATATGTAGCGTTCCTTCAAGTCCATTCCAACTTCCGTCATCAGTAAGGCGTGGTGGAGTGTTTTTTCTAAATTGTGGGGGGTTTTAAGTAGCCTGTTTGGTGCCGTTTCTTCGGGTAACATCTTGAAAGAGACTATTTGTCACTTTGACAATTTCATATTTCACAGAAAACTGTCAGTGAGAATAAACAAGCCTATATCTTAAAGAACCTGTTTTAACATTACTAAATGGCCATATTTTTATGGTGAAGCTTTAGCCCAGTCATTATAGACATAAAAGAGCTTGTTTCTGGAAAAAAATACTATTAGAAGTTTCTCTGCGGAATATTGTTCGGAAACCTGTTATAAATAAAATATCAAAAAATCAACTCGAGGCTAGTTGGGAAACTTTGTTTTAACAGTGGTCAAAGTTATGGAAAGGTGGTTTTTTGGCTCACGTAAAAAAACTATTATTCCTAGTGAAAAAAAAGTATATACAAAAAAGGTAGGTATTAAATAAGCCTATAAAATCAGAAAAGTCCGATTAAATTCCGATAATTTGTTTATGCACAAGAGCTCAAAAATGGACGAAAATGGCCGCTTTTTTCAATTGCTAATAATTAATGCAATTTTCGTCGCAGACTCTTATAATTCAGAATTTTTGAGGCTTTTTACACCCTTAATAAGTGGTAAAAATTTCAGCCCGAAAGCTTCATTGGTTTGGCATTGGCGGAATTTGTTATCTAAGAAGATGCTATTTTCAATTCATTTTTCCCAAGCTCACAGGTATTGTAGGGTTTCGATAATTAGTTGTTTTTGTACCTAAATAGTTGTATTGACATATGCATTTACTGAGAATTTAGTTTTTCAAATTCAATTTGTTTAAAAATGACTGAAAAAATGTTAATATTTATTAAATTGTTAAGATAGGTAATTATTATAAAATAAAATAGTAACCTCTATACTTTAGTTTTCTTCGAATTTAAAAAAGAAATCGTTGTTGTAAGTTGATTAGAAGCTGAGATAATTTTTTTTTTATTTAATCGCAGTGACCTTAATTATTAATATTAAGAGCCGAAATTTGAAGAGACATTAAGAGCTATATTTTCATGTCCTACATTAACATTAAGGTGAATTCAACTATTTAATTGTGAAAAAGAAGATAGCGGCGATGCGTTCTATTACTTGGTCTAGTGAACGAGTGGGGAGAGCGAGGCCGAGCATGCGCGCTTAACAATTTAATAAATATTAACATATTTTCAGTCATTTTTAAACAAATTAAATTTGAAAAATTAAATTGTCAGTAAATGCATATGTCAATACAACTATTTAGGTACAAAAACAACTAATGATCGAAACCCTACAATGCCTGTGAGCTTGGGAAAAATGAATTGAAAATAGCATCTTCTTAGATAACAAATTTCGCCAATGCCAAGCTAATGAAGCTTTTGGGCTGAAATTTTTACCACTTATTAAGGGTGCAAAAAGCCTCAAAAATCGTGAATTACAAGTGTCTGCGATGAAAATTGCATTAATTATTAGCAATTGAAAAAAGCGGACAATTTCGACCATTTTTGAGCTCTTGCGCATAAACAAATTATCGGAATTTAATGGAACTTGTCATATTTTACAGATTTATTTAATACCTACCTTTTTTGTATAAACCCTTTTTCTCTATGAATAACACTTTTTTTACGCGAGTTAAAAAACCACTTTTCCATAATTTTGACCATTGTTTTAACAAAGTTTCCCAACTAGTCTCGAGTTGATTTTTTGATATTTATAACACGTTTCTGAACAATATTTCGCAGAGAAACTTCTAATAGTATTTTTTTCCCGAAAAAAGCTATAATGACTAGCCTACTTGGGATCCACACCGTGTTTAGGGAACAATATCTAGGATCTCATAGATAGCTTTTCAAAAGAAAAAATTCAAATAGGGGTGGTTGATATGCTGATCTCAAAAAGGGATGGAATATAACAGAATGTTTGCTTTTTTTCAGAAAATTTTCATTTTACTTATATCATGAAAAATGGAATATTAGTATTAATAGTCTCTGTCGTAGGCGATTTATGTTTTCAATTATATTCCTTTTTAAAATCATAAATAACACGTTAAATGCAGACTCGTTAGTCTCAAGGATTTTATATCATGTTCCTAGACTTAATTCTAGATTTCACATCGTTTTACAATCATCTACAGCTCGTACCAATTTACTAATAGCATATCCCCTATATCAAATGATTTCCAATTACCAGAAGTATGAAGATTCATTGTATGAATGACATAAAAAAATTGTTTGTCTAGTAAATGTAATCCTTATCTTGTATATGTTAGTTAGCTTATTTGTTTTATTTGTCAGTTATTGTTTATCCTTAAGTTCTTTGTCTGAACTTTATATTTTGATTGCTCTATGTTTGTCTTTTTCTTTTAAAGTTTAGTTAAGGTTTTCCGTTTTACCTTATCCTATAACTGGGACTTTGTCCCGTTGGATATTGTAACTTCTAAATATAAAATCCCAAAAATTAAAGTCTAACGTCGGCTAAATTAATATTAATTATGATTGATTGAATTAAATATTAAAAAAATATTTTTGCATTAAATTGTTAATAACAATCAAAATTGTTAATGAATCGAAAAACCCCTACGATGTTTGGTGAGTTATATTATTGTAAAGCTCTGTACAAAATTTCAAATCGATTCGTTGAAAACATTTTTAATTATGTTTCTGTCCAATTAAAAAAAATTGGTGACGCATTTAAAGGTTTTATTGCTATTCAGCATAAGAAATTCGTTACATACCTTCAATCTGTGATGCCAGAATAATTTGCCTCCTATATTGATATTTTCTTCAGCCTCTTCTTTTCGGTTTGATCTGAGACAATCTGGCTTCTATAATAATAGCTAACTATCGCACACTTTCTCAAGAGTTACAATAAGCACTCCTGCAGTGTAGTGTAAGTTGTTGTGCTCTACCTCGAAAAAACTTGTCTTTCCGATTTTTCCCCCACCTAAAACTTGTTTCCTATATTCTTCACATAATAAAGCATTGTTTAAACCATTTATCCAAAAACAGATTTTTTTAAATTGTTACCCTAACTTAAAAAATGTGTTTATTGCAGAATACGTTTGTTTAATTTGAAACATATTTGAATATTTTCTCTCAAAGTTGGGTAATAATATAATTTTAGAATGTCGATCCAATTGACGTAAAATCCAGCCAAATTAAAGAATTTTTTTGAAATACATGCTGATAGAATGTTTACATAAGAATTTTCTTCCTGACAACTGCATATTTGTAGGAAATTATTTTGTTATTGGCCGTTATCAAAATGAAATCAAGAATCAACCTGAAATTGCAAAATGTTAAAATTGTGTATTTCCGAATACAGAACTTCTATTTCTTAAAAACTAAGTTAAATCCATTTAATAAATATGATCCTGCAGTAACTTAAGTTGAAGAATCTTCTGTAGATTTACGAGATTCGTCTCCGAAAAACAAGCATATTTATTTCTCATATATTTTTTTATTAAACAAATTTAAATTAATATTTGCAAAACCTTTATCGACTTCCTGCAATCCCCTCCATGACCCCCCCCCCCTCCAGGGAGTTGCGAACCACATTTTGGGAACCACTGTGCTAGATGTTTTTATAATTCTTAGAGCATGAACTTTGAATAAAGGAAAATATGTTGACAATTTTTATTAATATAATGATTATAGCTAAAGTTATGAACTCGTTCAATTCATTTGGTACTTTTCAAAACATCGGTAGGTTCGACGTATCGAAATTGTCGGGGTCATACAGTCTTCGTTTCTTTTTTGTCCTGCTTGCTTGATGTTCCATCATTTTTGTCGGAGCCTTATTATTTGATCCTCTAAAAACAAGGGGTGTACTAGTTTGCTCAGTATTGTTTCTGTTTAACGGAGTTGTGGCTCTATCCATGGGAGTTGTGTTTCTAACTGATGGTGCTTCGAAGAATTCTGCATCTTCAGGTTCGGGGTCATCAAAGTTGATTAGATGAGTAGATTGATTGGCGATTCTTGTATTTATGGGCAGTGGTTGAAATTTCATTTCAGGTTTTGGCGGCTTGTGATAGGATTGTGTCTAAAAATAATAATTTATATATTAATTTTTATGCCATGTATGCAGTTAGGTAAGTTATAAACAGTATTAGCACGTATTAGTTACTTCGGTATTAAATTGATCGTTTCAAAAGCGCAAACATTATTTTAAATTGCCGAAAGTGTTTGGTTCAGCTATAGGCCGCTGGATGGCGCGGGCACCTTTGGAAGTTTGTACACATTTTACCTGTTGACTGGCTAGCTGGGTTTTCAGGTTGTTTATGTCCATGTGAAGGTTTCTAATCACGTTTTGCGAATTACGCAATTTTGTGTAGGAGTCGACTAACTGTCTTTTTAAATTGGATTCTATTTCATCGCACTGTAATGCAGTTGTAGCTTGCGCTAACTGCAATTCGTCATAAAGTTTCTTTTCTAGAAAAAAAGAGTGGTGGACAAACGTTTTCCTTCATTCTCCAATGCACATATTTACCTTTTCCTTCGTAGCAAATTCTATCACGATCATTTTGCTCTTTTAATTTACTTATCTCGCACTTGTATTTCTCCTCTAATTCGGAAAGCTGGCGCAAATATTCGCTTTTTAGCGACTCTACGCTCATAGTCATTTGCACCTGCAAATCATCAAGTCGTCTCTTGAGGTCTACATTTTCTTTTTCAAAGGCCTCGCATGTTTCTAGAAAAATGTGGTTTAGACGATATACGTTTTACTATTTCTTTTTACCCCGTAAGGAGACATATTTCGTAGTAATATCCACATTTTCGTTCTCGACGTATTTCGCCAAACAGTTTTGTAAGCAGTCTTCACGTTCTTTACTCAGTTCTAGCTCCTTCGTAAGGTTGTCGATCAGAGACCACGTATCACTTTTATTTATATTGTACTCTTCTTGTTTCTACAGAAAAAATGTATAAAAATACTATACTCAAGGGGCTGGTAGTGCTCACGTAAAATATATTTCGAAATTTCTCAACGTAATCTTCTAAATCATCGTTTGAAGAATTCATTATACTCTTCCCAATTCGATGATCTAAGCTCAACAATGGTTTGACTTGACAGCTTCT